GATCCTAAGACCAAATTTCTTTTATTCTACCCAAATATCCCCATTTTCAAGACCTCACACATACAATGAAGTCCAAAGATAAAAAACCCCTCTTTCAAACATTTCAAGTCTCAAAACCCTAACTTTCCAAAATTACCAAATCTCACCATTTATACTAAATGACTAATAGCTATGTTAAAGCCCATAAAAATGAGTAGATGATCCCTACCTCAAATGGAGAAGCTCAAAGGAGATGAAGAGAAAAATCCAAGATGCTCCAAAGTCTAACTTTTTCTGATCAAATAATAGCCTACACGATACTCTACCTTTTTTACAAAGGAAGTAGGATAGAGACACTCTAGATCAAGTTTATTTGTAGAGAGAGAGAGAGAGAGAGAGAGTTTAAAGAGAGAGAAAGCCGGATCTAGGGTTTGGAGTAAAATGGAGATGAAAAAGTGATGTAGAATCACGCTGCTACGAACTGATATATACAGGGCTCGCTCGAGCGAAGGAGTGGTCATTTGAGCGACTAGACACAAAAGGACCTCGCTTGAGCGCAAAAAGCGTCGCTCAAGCGAAAAATGCAGAGCTTCAGGTCTGCAACCCTGACGCACGCTCGAGCGTAAGAGTCCTCGCTCGAGCGAAGGACATAGAGCTCGCTCAAGCGCAAGAAAGCTCGCTCGAGCGAAGAATACCACTATTCAGGTCAAAAAGAGATGCAAACGCACGCTCGAGCATAGGAGTCCTCGCTCGAGTGAAGAAACACACCAGACCAGGCTTGCTCGAGCGCAAGAAAGCTCGCTCGAGCAGATGCTGCGTCTGAAAAGAAACCTGAAGACCCTCAATCCTCGCTCGAGCGAAGAAGCCAATTCTTGGGTAGCAACCATTTGTTCTAACTCACAACCAACATGCTCCAAACTTCACCCAACACATCCCAAAACTCAAATACAAAGAATCACAGGATGGAAACGAGATACAGACAATAACATACAACCACGGAACTCGAGTCCGGAATATAGTAAATGATAGGGGAAAACCGGGATCACTATATTGAGGTCATCTCTCTTTTACTTGGCTCTGCTAAGCTGACCAAGCAGCCTTGCATTATCAGTATTCGCAATTTTGAGCGAAACTTTTGCTTAGCCCAACTCAGCCAAGACATTCTTCCCAGTAGCGTTCAGCTTGGTTACCTTTTGCCGCAAACTGACAATGTGGTCCATGACAAGGTGGGTCCTTTGAATAGACTGCCAGAAACCAGAAGAAGATTAGGCCGAGCAAGAATCAAACTGAGCAGACAGTTGAAAAAATTTCAAATTTGAAGCTCTTACCCTCGTCATCGATTTCACCGCGGACTTAACAAGCTGAGTGTTCGGAACGTGCTTGGTCCCTTTCATGTCTTCCAGCAGAAGCAGGGATGTGAAAAGATCGAAGGCACGGAGATATTCCTTGTCCCCCTTCATAGAAGCGTTGGCAGGGATAGGGCCTCTCCTAGACTTTAACCTCGGCTGCCAAGCAGGAACCGATTCGACTTCGGTCGCTGCATGCTAAGTATTGAGCTAAGTTGCTAGCTCAACGAACGAATTAGCTGAGTGGGCCTTCTTACTAGCCTAGTGTTGCTCAGCATGTTGTGTAACCGTGGAAGCCAAGGCGATCACAGTCCCCGAGCTTTAGCCAGCGGTCGGTGTAGGAGGCTGGTTGCTCGGCAGCTCGGTAGAAGTGGCGGTGATTAGGTTCTTAATCCGACTTCTTTTTGTCATTTCTTCATCCTCAGTCAATCGGATTAGGGGCATGTCTGGCAGAGTTGGGTCAGGCGGAGGAGAAGGAGCCCGGAGAAAATCGGTAACTTTGCTCTTGCGAGAAGCTAAGTAACTGTAGCTCAGTACGTACCCGAGAAGCTCATAGCAATCTCGGTGCCGATACCTTAGCATGGCCCTGATCGCCTCTTCGTTCGGATAGAGGTAATTGGCTTGTAACTTTTTGATAGCTGCAAAAGAAAGGCAATTAGCTTGACACAATTAGTAATGTCAAAATTAAGTAGCCAGAAAGCTCGACTTGCAAGAAGAACTGAAGTCCTTGTTAATGTACCAACCTGGTACATCGACCATTGCATAATTGCCAGTCACCTAGAAAAAATCATCGTCATGCATGTCTTTGTCCGGCGTCCCGATCACTAATCGCTCCCTGCCTGATCTCATTTTTAAGTAGTAACTGTAGTCGTCCTTCGTCTGACCGAGCATATATTGACGCAGGATCTCAGCCAATCCTAACTGTAACCCCAATCGATTATTCTGCTCAGTCACTCTGTTTATGATCCTAAAAGTGTTAGTGGATACTTGTGTGGAAGCCAACCGGGTAGGTCTCAAGAATTCGCACATTAGAGGCTGCATCGGGAAGCGCAACCCTCCCTCAACTATACTTAATACGGTAAAGGGGCAAGACTCTAATCTGTCCCATGGATTTATGCCTTCTTCACCGAGCTCCAAGTGTACATCAGTGGGGACGCCATACTCCTCGCGGAATGCGGCCAAGGCGCCCAACATGTTTACAAGGAAGCAGTAACGCCCCATAAAGGACCGACTTGTTCAGTTTTGCAGAATTGAGTTGACTAAGCTGTGCACGATGGCTGCTCAGTCTTTGAGAGCCCTGGTATTGGTGTGCCTGGTTCCCTAGGAGTCTGCAGTTAAAAATAAAGTGTCAGTGGCAACACGATCACGCATATGAGCCTGATTTTAGCTCGGTCACATCAAGCGCGCTTGGCAGCTCGGCCTATTTGGTTAGCTTGGTTGTGTAAGCAGGCCAGATATTAGCCCGGTCGCACAACTCGAGTATTAAGTATCCCGATTTTTCTGCCCTCCACTCCACGAACAACAAATTTGCCCGATCAACTAATCCTTTTAGATTAAAAAGATGCTTCAAGCCCGGTCGAACCCAGATTCGCACCTGTTCATCATAGGAGATGATGAACAATGGGAAAATAGGGGCACATGAGCTCTTGGACGTCAAAAGCAACGCAAAAAACCTAACCCTATTCCATTCGCGGTACTATTTGAGTGTTTTTACCTTTCTTTGTGAATAAATGTGAGAATTAGAGTTCGAAAACACTGGAAAACACAAAGAACAGACGAAGAACACAAAGAGCAGTGTAAAACTTACCAAATCGAAGATGCAAACGGCGCTCTAATTGTCAGAGGGCGTTCCGAAGGCAACAGTGGCAGAAAGCTGGTGAAACGGATGCTTTGATAGGGATAACGAACGCAGAAAATGGGGCTTGGGTGCTCAGGATCGACGGATTGCCGCTGGAGGAGATGATGAACAGCGGATGTAGGGGACTGAAGAAGTGTGTCAATATATGTAAGAGAGGAAAATGCACCAAAAATTTGAATCTAAAGGGACAATGTAGGACAACTATATTGGCGGTACGGGACCAATTGATGAACGCCATGTGGCCATGACGAGATCGGCGTCAGTCATGAAGTGATAGGCTGAAAAGATAAATCACCAATCGAGTAAGTCGTTAGGCCAAGCACGAAGATTAGCGCGGTCGAAGATAGCAGACCATTCGAAATAACGGACGATCAAGCAACGAAGCGAGCCCGTCTTATAAATGTAATCCTAGTCACGCTGGAGCGGATAGAATTAATGAGCAATTAAGAAGAAGGTTTATGACCTAATATTAGGCCGAGCTAGTTTGGGCCGGAGTCAAAGTCCTTGCTCGGTTAGGCGTTGGGTGCACGCTGGACCAAGGACTCAGTCCGGTCGTGTTAGAACAACTTTGGATTGCCAGCCCGGAGGAGATGTGTGCTCTGCTGAGTTTGACGGGATTAGTCCTTAGAAGATCAAGTTCGACCGAGCAGGAGCTCGATGATGACTGGGGAGCTCGGTTGAGCCCACGATGAGGAATCATCAAGGAAACTAGACGGGTAGCACGGTCATAAGTGATAGCGTGGGGCTGCACTAAGAGTAGCTCGGTGGAGAGTATTACGCTGCATGGCGAGACTGTGGAAAGAAGATTTTGTTGTCCGAACACGTCAATACCGTTTGGCAGTTTCGTCATTTGGTGATTAGCTGTATAAGCACTACACGTGGGAGAACGTAAAAGGAAAATAGGTCCACGCGTCTAGAGGGTAATGGACGCAAAGGCGCGCGCAGAAACTATATAAATGATGCTGTGCCTCTATACTCAAATCTGGAACATCCTCTAATCAAAGCTCACCTACCACTTTGTCCCCTCTCTCTCTCTCTCTCATTTTGCGCTCTCTCTGTGTGCTAACTTGATCGTCGAAAGGGCTTTCCAACAACCACCCGCTGGGTAGCTCACCATCTTTGTGTTCTCAGGTCAGTCGACGGGAAGCGTAACTTGGACACAAAGAATGCGGATAACGTCGGATATTTGGCTCCTGTACAATATGTTAACTGAATTTTTATACAGAAATTACAAGTATTATGTGATAATAACATTTATAAAGTTACAAAAGACAATGGTAGATATTTTCATTATAAATATAGGGAATTATAATAGAGTGGGAGATAGAAAAAAAAATTACAAAAATATGTGAGGTGTAATTGATTGTGTGATGGTGTGCAAGTGAGAAGTTGTGGAGATACAAGTGTGACTTGCACCCCTCATTTGTGTAAAAAAAAAAAACTGTCCTACTGTAATATAATTCCCTCTTATAAATAAAAGGATCACAAAATATCATATCATTATGTTTATGTAACATTACTTTTTTAGATACTTTTCAAAATAATATTTTTGAATCCATAATATAAATTTGTCATGCACAATTTTCTACCAATTACTCTCTAATATTAAAATGGAATTAGTATTTCAAAATGTATAAGCCAAAAATATCATTTCCTCACTTCTGAATAATCAATTTTTTAAAACTTATTTGAATTTCAAAATTAAAATAAGATATAAACAATTTATTTAAATAACTATCATACTCATATTAAATCTTTTTCTCTCTCACACACATTGAATACGATATAACAAAGTAATGCTTTTGGAACAACATAAATTTTTCTTTTTCTTTTTTGAGAAGTATAGATTACATTAAATTAAACATCATCTGTAGAATATGTATTGAAAATTATGCATTGTAAGAGAGGAAAAATTAAATACAAGGTCATATATCAGGTTACCAATCTGTCATTCCCTCATATATCAGGTTACCAATCTGTCATTCCCTCACAAACAAAGCTCTTAGTACTTGTAACCCTTAACAAACAAACTCTCAGAAGCCAAACCACCACCACCACCACCACCATACTTCCCCAAAGTGGCCTCAGAATTGGACTTGCACCTTAGCAAGAATGTCTCTTGAGCTTTCCCAACATTCTCCTTCTTCCCACCCCATGTCTTGAGTGTGCTCTGCTGCAGAGCTCGCCCGAATGAGAACGAAAGTGTCCATGGCTTCAACAAGTCTAACTTGTTCATGGCATTCAGGTTGAGGGTTGCCTCTTCCTCGCTTTGCCCACCTGACAAAAACACAATCCCGGGTACTGCAGGTGGAACTGTTCGTCGCAATGCTAAAACTGTGTGTTCGGCGATCACCTCAGGTGTCACCTGTGAAATCATAAATTGTAATGGAGGTTTCAAAATAAAGTTAAAATCACATACATCTTCATATGGTAAAAATAGGAATACCAGTGCATGAAACTTCTAGCGTGGCGGAATTTGGGAAGAGTCATACGAAAGGATGGTCGTAGAGTAGGTTAGGCCGAGCTTACCATACATAGGAAGAACACGTGTCATCCCAACCCCGACTCGACTTCAAACCTAATCTAGCCATCTCAAACTTAACCTCAAAATAACTTTTAAATCTTAAGTTCGCCATTTAATCCAATATACATGTTCTTTTTTTGGGGGGTAGAGCTATTAAATGCATCGGGATTTTCTTAATAATTATTGAATTTTTGTTATTAACAAAATCTAGTGGTAAAAATAATTTAGCCTTCTTAACAAATGTTTGAATTTAAGCTATGGAAAGAAGCTATATACACTTTTCTTTATTTTTATTAATTTTCTAGTTTATTATGTATTTGAAGAATATAATATTAAAACTAAATACTTTATAAATGGACAGATAAAGCTGGGCTAGGCTAGAATGTCTCATTCTAAATCTAAACCCAATTTAAAAATTAAACTAGCTCAAAATCTCAGTTTAGTCTGACCCTATAAACTAAATATTTATCTTAAACTGTAAAATATCATATTGAACTGGACAGAGGAAGTACATGTTCAAATTGTGGAATACTTAGATTTGCATTTCACAAACTAATTAATTAGCACATTACCTTTGGGCTATCAGAGCCTGGTGTGACCATGTTGGGTTTCAAAAGTGTTCCTTCAAGAAGAACATGGTGATCATTGAGTGCCTTGTAGACAGCTGCAAGCACAGTTTCAGTCACAGCTGCACATTTCTTGATGTCATGGTTTCCATCAGTTAGAATCTCTGGCTCAACAATTGGGACTAGTCCCCAATCTTGACATATCCTTGCATAGCGAGCCAGCCCCTGGGCATTCTGCTGGATTGACAGTTCGGATGGCTCGGTGGGGCCTATCTTGAGGACGGCACGCCACTTGGCAAAGCGTGCACCGGCCTTGTAGTACTGCTGACACCGGGATCCAAGAGAGTCGAAACCCTGGGTGGTGGTCTCGCCATTGGTGCCGGCCAACTCAACAACACCCTTGTCGACTTTGATACCTGAGCAGTGACGTTGTCAAGATTAAAAAGTTCATAAAAGATGAAAAAAGTCAACCAAAAAAAAAAGCTGTGAAGACAAAAATTTCCAAATTCTACATAACCTATCAAAAAATCAAATTTGTAGTCCTTTTTCAATTATTATGATTATTTTTTTTTTGTTTCTAATTTTTAGGCGACCATAGTGCAGTGTAAAACTTAGAAGTGAGTTTTTTAAAAAATTTATTAAAAACGAAAAGGTAGAAAAAAAATATTAAGAAAAGTAATTGTCAAGCTCAATTTTAAATTCTACGCAACCTATTAAAAATTCACTTTCAGACTTTATACAATGTAATTTTATATAGGGTTTCGCTAACAAGTGCTATGGTTGATTTTGGTACCTGGAATGACATTGTTCTCCTTAAGGAGCTCGACGAAAGGCTTTCCGTCAGAGGTTTTTTGGTAGAGGGTCTCCTCGAAGAGAATGACACCAGAGAGGTAGGGGAGGGCATTAGGAGCGGTGAAGAGGAGCTCGCGGAGGGACTGGCGGTTGTGCTCGGTGTTCTCAACACTGATGCTCGACAGACGTTTACCAATGGTGCCAGTGCTTTCATCCGCGGCCAAAATGCCCTTGCCGGGGGTGGCAATGTACTTGGCATTCTCGATTAGTTCCTCTATAGAGAGAGCATGAAGTAAGAGAAAACAAATGAGACATACTGTTAAAGATGAATACTAGAAGCGTAAAAGCATAGAAACAAAACACAGAATGGAATATAGGCTTGAGAATAGTTTTGTGTTCCATTTTGTGCAAATAATGTAGCTCTGGATAAAAGCTTACTTTTTTGCGTGACGAAGGTTCGTTTTGGTGTAATTTTTCTCCTGTTAGAAATTGAAATCAACTCCTCTATTTAAGCATATTTGAATTATTTGGTATCATAGGCTATAAGTAATAGTTACAAGAATCACTCTCATACATATTAATGCCTTATTTGGGAACTAAAGTTTTTAGTTAAAAAATCACATCAAATCATTCTTTCTACTTTTTTATATTTCTTTTTTATAAATTTAAAAGCTACTAAAAAAATCAATTCTCAAACCTCTTAAAAAAAATCTATAAATAGTTTTAACAAGCTTCATTAAATAGTACCTACATAACATTAAACGAGAAATATATGATTGTGTAAAGGTTAGGCCTAGTATGAGTTATGCTGCTTTGAGTTATGAATAAGCAATTATTATTGTTGTGTTATGAACGTTATAGTTGTGATTACGTTATGGATGGTATTGCGATATAACATTGCTAGCTTAACATTATATAAATATATATATAGAGAGAGAGAGAGAGGGAGAGAGAGAGTACCTGCATAATTTCCTAAGAAGGCCGACATGGCTAGTGGGGTGGTAGGATAGGGAAGACAGTGAGGGGAAATATACGAGTAAGAAAAGGTTCACAGGGAGGAGTCTATATAGATTACATCTATTGATGGGAATATACCAAAGGGGAATTATTCGATCCAATTCAGGATTGATCAACACGTGTCATAAGATTAGCCCAACAAAGGTTATCATCCTGGGATGAAGGAATGAGTGATCACTGTCCCTGCCATATGGCATTTGCTTCAACTTTATCCATCCCCAAACTAGTTTCCTCTTGACAAATTTGTGTGGAAAAGCTCATGACCCTCCTCATCCACTTGTATAGGGTGCTCGCGGATTGGTTTTGTGCGGTTTGCGGCTCGGTTTTGACCCGCCCGCATCTATGCGGTTTGGGAAAAAGTCAAACCGCAACCGCCCGCAGTGCGGTTTGCGGTTTGTGCGGATAGGGTTTGCAAATGTGCGGGCGGTTGCGGGCGGTTTGCGGTTTACACTTTTTTCTTTAAAAATTAATTTTTGAGTTTTTTTTTCCCAGCGAATTTAGACATTAGATTCATTTTATATATTTGTGATAACAATTTTTTGATGAGTTTACAAATAAAAATTGAATATCAATGCATTAAATGAAAGTACCCAAAACAAAGAGACCCTACACTAACATTTTTGCCATGAAAAAAATGTATATCAATGCATTAAAGGTTGTACACAATTAGAATTGCCAGTTTAGTAATCGATAATCAAACTATAAGTTCTATCGACCATTAGAAGGAAAATTTTATTTGGAAAAAGTGGATGAATCACCAATAAAAATCATATAAGAAACCAAGTTTAGCACTTGATAATTCTACGGCATTAAGAAAGTTGAGAAATACTTAAAAATAAGGATCCTAGTGTCATAGAGAATATAATGGTGCTCCTGTAAAAGTTACAAAGTTGGTATATAAAAAAATAATAATAATTAAAGTGCGGGCAGTTTTTGCGGGTTGCGGGTTTAAACTGCGACCCGCCCGCAACCCGCAAATTTGTCATATTTCAAACCGCATCCGCCCGCATTATGTTTGCGAAACCGCCCATTTATATGCGGGTTGGGCAGATTGGGCGGTTTAAGCGGTTCGGATAAACCGTTGGCCACCCTAATATATAGGATTGTGTTAAGAATACAAAAAAAAAAAAATTCCAAACACAAAATATACACATATTATGCTTAAAACTTTTTGTATTTTTAAACTTTTTCGTACACATTCTTCTTTTTTGAACTTGAACTAGAAGAGCTACACGTCCCAAAGCCAAAGCCATATTTTGGAGCTTACCACCTCTCTGTTTCTCTCCCCTTCTAATTAGATCCCACTCAACTTGCGCTACGTCCAAAGACAATTATGTGGACAACAAATATGATTGAGACCCATATTTGGACTCCCCCTTTTAGAGACCTTATGATTTTTAAAATCATCTGAATTATTCATGTATTTTTGTTTTTTTTTCTTATCTCTCTCACATGAATAATCCAGATTATTTTAGAAGTCATGGAGAATCCCAAAATTAGGGGTTTCAATCATTGTTGATTTGGACAATTATCAACCGTAAAAATTATTGGGTAAGTGACGGACCATGCCAAGAGAAATTATTGAGTGTTTCAAAGCAAGTACGATTGGTGTTCCAACCAACCAATTGATTTAAATACAATTGATGCTCCAACTTGATAGAGATTAATTTAATTTAAATAAAACCCTCTATTTAGCCCCTACAACCACAAGGCCAACTAAGAAAGGACTATGAAATGAGAATCTTCCCAATCTTGGAGGACAAAAGTGTATTTGTATAAGTTAATCTCATAGGATTATTATCCCACTATTTATATCCCACCCCCCATAGGACACAATAATTCCATATATGAACAACAAAAAATTCAGTTGAACTCTTAATTCAGACTATTAATTTCTAACCAAACAATAAACTCCTCCATAGAATGGATATGAAGTTCTATTCATAGGTCAAATCCCACCAAATAAACAGGGCCTAAATGGATATAGGCAACCACAGATAAAACGTTGCCATCTTTAAAAAAAAAAAAAAAAAAAAAAAATTATATTAACCCATAACATATTGCTCAAAACCAGTCCCCCGTATTCTTTATATTTCAATTGAAAAACGATAAAATTAACTTTCAAGTTCAATGGAGTCTAGACTACTTGAAAAAAACTGATAATGTCCATCAAACAAGTTCGGCTCACTACTCTATAATATAACTCTCCGGTAGTGATCCTTGTTGGGAATGATTATAGGATGGAACGACCAAAATGTTAACAAACTCTCCCAAAATTATTGTGGAGGAACCATCACTGCTTGTTGGTCGTCATCATCGTCTGTGCCAAAATATCGATCACCAAATTCACCCATGCCGGGTATAACACGGAAATCTTTGTTCAAACCGGTTTCAATCTCTGAGGTCACAATCTTTATTCTCGGGAAACGTTTGCAAACCACGTGAACTCCTCGAGGTGCCTAGCATTAAAAGAACATTGAAATTTATAACATAATTTTTGCAGCCAGTCGTGTTAGTGAAGCTAAAAAGAACTCTCATAATAAAAGGTGCACCTAACAAACTTACAGAGATCAGATTAAGGAATATGATGTTGGACTCTGGAACACCCTTCTTAATCAGTAAAGATATAGCTTGGACGGCCGAATTCCCTAAATAAATGGTTTAATAATTAGAACAATATTACCCAAGTCTAGTCTGTAGAGAAAAGTCTCATCCAAATTAGGGTTGACAATAAAATCTAGCTGTTGACAATAACTGTGAGATGTAGGGTAGAAGTGATCCAACTGTGGCTTGATAGAGCAGTCACATTTTTTCTTTGTTACAATCTTAGGGCCTTGTTTGAATCAAATCCGATTTGAATAGGGATTTGTGGAGGGAAAGGAAATGAGAAGGGAAAACTGACAAAATTTCCTTTTTCCTCCCCTTTCATAAAATCACTAAACTTAGCCTAGAGAACATGGGCATTCTCATGAATGTCCTATTTTCTTTGTTCACTTTTTCAACAATGTGTGTGTGCGCGTGTGCGCGCGGGGATGCATATGGATCTACACATATATAAATAAAATTTAAATAAAAAAAAAGAAAAGCTCGACAACAGGAAGTTTTCTCTGTGAGAACATACGAACCTGTGCCTAAGATAGGGTCCAATAGTAGTACATGCCTATCTGAAATGTCCTTTGGCAGTTTTTCATATATCAGCTGTTTAGAAATTGACCAGTTAATGTAACTGTCAATGTATTAGAAAACAGACGCACAAGATGCAGAGAGAGGGAGAGGGAGAGGGAGAGAGGGGGAGAGAGAGATGCAAACCTGTTGTCCATTGTCACCTTCTCTATGAATAAGAATCTTCCCAATCTTAATACCTTTGCAACATGCCCGCAAAGCGTTTTCCATACTCTCACCACTGTCACACAGTAAGCGATATTCTAGTTATTAGATGACTACAAATATGTAACTAATTCCTTGATGTTATTTTTTGAAGACAAAAGGACAGGAACATAATTTTATTCAAGAAAATATAAATACCTCCTAATTATGGAGACACCACATAACCTCTTACAGAAATCCACACCAGTATATACAGAACCTGATTCACACAAACAGTAGATGTCACAAACCAACAAATTAGATAATACTTGCATTGCCACAGAAATAATCGATACCCCTTGTGGGCATGCAAAAGAAAGGTACAGAAAGCAAGCAGAACATACACAATACTAAAAGAAAGATGCATTAAAATGGCTGAAAGAGAAACTTGGAGGGCCTGAGGTATAAATAATGGAAAATATAGGATCATTAAGTAATAATATTATCAGCTTACCAGTTGGAGTGATCACCTGCTTTTCTGTAAATGGAAGATGCCCCAGACCATGTTCAACAACCTGGATAAAATAGGGTAAAAGCGGCGAGATAAAGAAATGGTCATAACAAGAAAATCAAGAACTATCAAATGGACCTATCTCACAGCGACGAATACCCACCAAACGAATCAAACGATCAGCATAAAAAACAAAGTCATGTTTTGTTGTTTCAGCATCACGTATAAGAGTATGCATACCACGAATCTGAATGAGAAAACCAAAACTCATAATAAATTATCATAATTTTGGAAATTGAGCTTAAAATTAACTGAAAATATAGAACTGCAGGAATATAGCCCCTCCAAAAACAATAAACTACATTAGGATGTATTTCACGCATGGACTAAATTAGCAAGTAGTGCAAGAAAAGAAGTACCTGAAAAGTTGACTGAATGACATAAATATTAGGATATATTTTACAAAGATCATGTTGACCCAGTTTTGTACAAATATGTTGGACAATTAAATCAATAGCTACATGATTGTCTCCTCCACGGGGAATGATAATGTCTGCATACTTCTTTGTTGGAAGTATAAAGTCATCAAAAGCAGGTTTCACAAAATTTGAATACTGCATGAAAAATGAGCTCTTAATTAATATAATACAAAATAGATGAACACAAAAATTACAAGATCAAAATTAAATGAGTATCAGCATGAATGTGGAACAAAGGAAATGAGAACAAGAGCATAAAAAGCTAATTGGTTATATATGGAAAAATAGCTTGAAATTGAACCAAATAACAAAAAACACACTTTCTTCAGAAAATAAGTGCAAATTTTTTTCTTAAAAAAAGTGCTTGGAAAGAGAAAATGAAACTTTGCTAACCTGATCAAGTACCATATTGATATCTCTACACTTTTCAACTGTATCACGCCTTATTCTCCTTGCCAGGCGGACATCAGCATCTGCACTGAAAATTTTCAAATGTTAAGACCATAACCTTAAGGTTGTGTTTGGTTGAGGGATTTGGAGAGGGATTTGGAAAGGGAAATGGAAAAGGTAGGTGAAATGTGAATAAATCATGCCTATATTTCACATAGTTTCACACACCTTTTCCCTTTTCCTTTCCAAATCCCTTCCCAAATCCCCCAACCAAACACACCATAATAGTCCAACTTAGCAACACTATGAAGTATGAAGTGACCCAAAAGATTGTCATGATAAATCAATTAAAGATGGATGTCACAGAAGACAAAAAAAATATTTAGTTTGAACCTTGTTTGATCATTTATCACAGTTCATGTTTTCAAAACTCAGCTGAAAAACCCTCATTGAAAATCTGCATGTCAACTCATATCAAGAATCTATCAGCAAACCCAACTTCAACAATACCTAACTGAATATCCTCTATAATCTCTTACAAGCAAATATTCTCACTCCAAAATGATGGGGGAGAAAATTTCAAGATATGAAAACCAATCAAACTACAATACAACCTTATTTTTCTATAAATATGTAAATATAGGGAATTATAGATCTCTGGATGTTGAACTAACAATAACATGACACAGCCACTAGTCAAACATGATAAGCTTATAAAATACAAAATATAATGAATCCAAGCACAAAAGAGGAAGAAAACACAAAATAGAAATATCTTATGTTCTGATGAAAAAAATATGAATATAAAATAAGAATACTATCAAAAAAAAAAAAAAGGAAGAAAGGAACCTGTATCAACAAAAATCTTCATACTCATCAGATCTCGCACACGAGGATCATGGAAAATGAGAATGCCTTCCAAAATTATCACATCTGAGGGATTTACCTAGCAAAATATCATGGCATCAGTAGTTAGTATTGGCAATAACACAAAAGTTGAAAGCACGTACATTAGATTCCACCCAATTACAGCTTCAGGACCCGGCCGTTTTTTTGAGAGTAAAAGAACACTAATAATAGCATTAGAACAATGCTGCAAAATGACAGTGAGTTGGGTAGAACAGTAACAAAAATAAATAAATCATAGCCGCATGGGAATTACTGTCTAAAACACATCTAATAAAACGGGCATGTCAAAAATGAAAGAGCGGGCAACTTATGAACACACAGTGAGTTGATGAATATTTGAAGACTATAAAGTTTTAGACATAAATAAAGTGATAACACCTTAAAAACAAATTGTTAACTTAACAAGTAGCAAGTCGAGAGAAAAGCCACTCGATGGTTATTCACCTATTCTAGAAATTTCATTAAAATAACATCATCTATATATAAAATTACATGCTTCTTATCCTCCATGTTTAAAGAAGTATACCCTTCGAGCTGGAAAAATGTTTTTGTAACTCTTGAAATCATACTTCGGAATATCTACTGCTTGCCCATGCTTCAACTTCTCCATAGCCCATAATAGTTGCTCGGTGTCAAATGCATCTGATGAAGTAAAGAATTGACATATTAAAACGAAAACGAAAACGAAAAAAAAAAATCCAGCATGTAGCTTATCAGATTTACATAAATTGCCAGCACAGAGTGAACAATTACTACATACATTATTTGTCAAATAAATGAACAAGTTGTAAGCTTCAACAACACAGTCACAACAAAATAGCATGTTAGTGGTCCGGAAAATGATAATCCAAGCCTCAAGATAAAACAAGCCCACATTATTGAAACCCAGTGTTCAAGTTTGAAAGATGTGGGATGGAATTCCTCATCAACAAAATATAAAATAAAAAGTTGAAAGGAAAAAGGAGACAATAACTTCAATGGAAAATTTTGGAAAGCATCAGTTTGCAACTTTTAATGGGACTTATAAATTTAAAAAGAAAATTAAATCTTAACAAAGAGCACATAAACTAAGGTTGCATATGGTAACGTTAACAAAGAGCCATAAACTAAGGTTGCTTATGGCAACATTGCTAATTTTCATTTCATAAAAAAATGTTTTATTTTGTTTCTTTTATTTGTAAAAAAACAAGAACAGAAAAGATACTTGGTACAAACAGATGTTTTGAAAATAAAAATAAGAGAACATATTTGGTGAGTTGCCGGAGGAGGGAGAGTTTCCCTGAAGGGTTTCTGGAGTGTTGGGGGGGGGAACTTGGAAACTTATTTCCAACACAAGTGAATTAATTCCTCACTTTTTCTAAAATTTTGGAAACCATTGCCACTACTGTTGCAGCAAAAACAATCATCAAACATGCTTATATCAAAAAATGAAGCGTCATCAAATGGGCCCTAAACAAAGTGATTCAAAGAATTTTCAATGACGTAACACCAGAAGAATGTTCGAGTCACGGCAGCCAGTTTATAAGTACAAATACAGTGACTACAAATCCAGATGCCCACTTTCATAAGTTCACATTCTTTGCAAACAACAAATGAAAAAATATTTTTTTTTTTGTTTAGGATTAAGAAGAAACTGAAAAATCAACTAAAAACTCATGTTAGAAAACGAGCAAAACCAAAGAATGCAATCATCAAATTCCAGATGCAAAACTCACCAGGGTGGTCAAAGTTGTATTCATGAACTCTTGTAAGTTCCTCTAGGGTCAAATTGTGATAAAAAGAATCCTGCCAGATCATCCACAGCAAGATATTTATTTGCAATGAAAAATAAATCACCTCATCAAAGAGAAGTGGTGATCAACTGTTGTAAATTCGGGAGGCAAATGTATGGAAATGTGGATGAAACTTCAATTCTATATGCTGATAAAAGACACATCCACAGCCACACATCCACACACACACGGGAGGAGAGAGACATTGAAGAACAGCATAGATGAGCGGATGAAAAAATCACAAACACAAATTGAGCCCTATTAAGTGGTGTGTGCTCAGGTGCAACTTGAAGTATGCAGATAACAAGAAGCATGTCGTTCTTGTTTATCCTATTTAGCCATTAAACGATAATGTGATGGCAATGTGAGAGAACAAGTGAAGCTCAGTTGAATACTTTCAGTTCAGGGAACAAATAGTTGATGATTACCTAACAGCCCTACCAACCCCCCAACCGATGAAAAAAGAGGGAAAAAAGCGGCTTGTGATAGAACTTAAAGGGGAATTACTTACAATCCAATGGATGATGTAAAGTAACTTCAGAAAAATCAATTCATAGTGTCCAGTCCAATACTTGAAAAGGAAGAAAATAATTCAAAAAATTAAGAAAAAGAATACAAAGAAGAAAAAGAAAAAGGAGATACCTGGTTAACAAGTACAACACGCTGATCATGAAGTTGCTCAATAATCATATCACAAACTGTAGTCTTTCCTGATGCTGCACCTCCAGCAACTCCTGTCCAGCAGAATTGCCAATAGAAACACACATTACTTGAAAAAGCTCCAATCAATAACTTTGCCCAGTAAACACCATAAACTCTAATCGAATCTTTCTTTCCAGATTAGCATCCCCACCTCAACACCTTCCAGAAACCATTTCCCTTATTAACCACCCCCATCCCAACTTCTCCACATGGTGTACTTAGCTATACAAGTTCTTTACTTTTCCCTCACAGTCGTTCACTTAGACAACTGCACCCACCCCCCACTTCAACCCTCTACACACTTTCAAGCCCCACCTTTTTTTCAAATAGACTCATCGCATCATCCTTAAGCCTCTCATGAGAAGCGCTAAATTTTTTATTTTTTATTTTTGATAAGCAAGTAAGGTAATTTCTAAAGCCTTTATTTCTCCTCATCACCCAAGCCAATGCCTCGCTAAAATCTTCCTCCCACTGATAAATGTTAACTCCTTAGAGCCATCCACAAATCATTTTATACCATGGGAAATTAAGCATGATGCCCTTGATCAAAGACAAATACAATGGCCCAACTTCTACAGCCCAACCTCAAGTCTCTTTTCCTTTACTCATCAATGGACCTTCGATCTGCAATTCCCCTTAGGCCAAATACTCCACAATCTGCCCTCCCTCAGTTGGTCGAACCACTCAGTTAAGCAACATACAACTGAAGAATAACTACAGGATTCCACACATCTGACATCTTATACTATAAAGAGTGGTGATTGAGACCCCCACCCCCACAAGACCCTCACAAATCTGGACCACTCATGATGTGAATCCCACACATACATGAGTAGGCCTTAGTTGCACGAAGCGGGAGCGGGAGCGGGAGCGGGAGCGGGAGCGAGAGCGGGGAAACGTGGCCATTTAGAGGAGTCGTAAATTAAGAGCGCTTATGTATTATTTTTATTAATTATATTTTATTTATTATAATGAATAATAAATTATGTTAAAATAAATAATAAATAAAAATTAGATGTTTTATTTTATAAATTTTTGAAGATTTTTTTATTATATATGATTTAAATAGATTTCTTTTAAACAATTAGATAATTTATTATATGTTAAAAAGTTAAGAAATAATTGTTAAAAAAATAAATAATAAATAAAAATTATATTATATATAATAAAATAAATAATTTTTTATTTTACAAATAAAAATTATATTGTTTATGATAAATTATATTATAATTTATAATTTATAAATTATATTTTATATATATATATATTATATATATGATAAATTATATTATATAAAATGAAAACGGAGAGGGAAAGAAGAGAGAGAGAGAGAGAACATAATAGATCGAGAGAGGGAGAAGCAAGAGGCGCAACAGAGATGAAGAAAGAGAGAAGCAGAGACGAAGAGGAGATCGAGGGTGAGAGAAGAGAGAGAGAGAGAGAGGAAGACCTAAGGCTTCGAAGAGAGGGACGAAGACTAGGGCTTCGACGGGGAAGCCAAACGGCGAGATCGAAGTCGTCGAATAGAGGATCGAAGCCAGCGATCAAGTACTCTCCTTGCTCTCTCAATAGTGCTCCCTTCTCGCATCAGATTCGTGTTTTTCTCTCCTCAAATTCGCAATTCTGCTGCAATTCTTCCTTAGAAGCGCAAAATTGCACTTTTTCCTCGGAGTCGTCGCCATCTGAAACGATTCCTGCTACTAAGGAGTAGGCTTCACACATACATGGAGGGCCAAGATCACTTTAGGGTGTGGAGGTCATCCCCAAAAGGGGTCCCAAACATTTCCCTACTATAAAACAAGCTTTAGCGTAAGTTTAACCAATTGACATGAGAGAAAGCCAAGCACCCCTAAATTCAATAACAGATACAAAATGACTAACCCAGTCTTAGCCGAGCTTGGGTTGAGCAACCAACTGCAGCAAACAAAGCACTTACGAGTAGAGTTTGGTAGGCCTTCAACCTAACCCAGCCATTAATCTCCATATGCTCCTAATTTTACTTTTTACATGTCCATGAGAAAGTCCACGACCACAAGCCTATCCTCCATCTCTCTAAGATCAACATAACTGACTAGCATCTCAATTTCCAATATTTATGCTCAATGGTGAATTAACAGTTCAAATTAAAGATTCATTTCAATGTTATGTAGTGCTGAAAGCTGAAAACACGATTTTCCTCAGTTAAGCCTAGATGCAATGCAGTCAATAAGAAAATATGACAAATATTACATAAGATCTCTTGCTCCACTTACCAATGACAAAAGGTTGCTTATGCAAATGTTCTGCAGCTGAGGTTGTTGGTTGCTCCAACTCTGAATTTCTTGGATCCAACCCATCCAAGTGAAATCCAGAAAAATGAGCCCCTGATGAAGCTTCTATCAAATCAACAACTGATTTAGGAGTAGAACCCATGTGTTGAGACCTCCCACACCCTGCATGTTTAAAAATAAAGATCAGTGGAGTCATGCAAGGGATAACTGTTCAGAATAAGATATTAATAACTTGCACATGCTGGCAGTTGGCATCCTTTGCACATAAAGCTAGACTTTCTGTTCTTTTACTCTACCAAACCAAATCAAGCCTTAAGTCTCATCAAATGGGGTCGGCTACATGGATCTTTCTTTTCCACTCAACTCTATCAACGGCCATTTGGTTAGTCAAATTAAGGAGACACACCAATTAATATGAATGCATTTAGTTCAAATGGCACTCCAGCAATTATCCATTGATGTTATAAGATACCAATACATATACCATAAATAAAAACAAAACGATGTGTCTTGAAAATGATATGACGCAATTCCTATACGGAAATTAAGTACATAAATCAAGACACATCCAACATGCTACCATAATGTCCTCGTTAATCCGAACAAATCCAGTCATATCTGGGATCAGACAGAGTAAATTTATAAAGTTTCACAATGACCATGGATCACTGAATCTTGAGAACCACATTTTTCAGTTCCAATGCAATAATAATCAATCCAATTAATAAAAAAGGCAAGGTTTTATCACTTTATGTTCCTGAGTTTGCAGAACAATTTATCTGAAATGTACAAGTATATCAATCAAAGAAAGAAAAAACAGCAGGACTACTGTCTTTCTCAGCCTCCATTTATACAATATGACTATCTGTAAATTAATTCCAAAGCACTTAATCAAGGAAAATGATCTTCCAAATTGTACCATTTCTCTTTATTGATTTTTTTTTTTTCTTTCAAAAAATCATGAACTTCGAAACTAACTGTTATCAAATAAAAACCTGAAATTTCTACTAATATAGCAAAATCTCCTACTCAATTAGTTACAAACGCCATTTAACAATCAATTTCCACAACATGCTGTGTTCAATCTAGTAGGCACCTCTACTCTACAAAAATCAATTCGTCGGTTGCATTCCTACAGTTTTTATGATTCATGCACATCTACACCAAGTGTGCTGCGCAAAATTGATCAATAACATCAATACATTAAATCGCGCACGAATCAAAGTTACTAATTTCATCACTTCTTGCAGATACTGAAAGAATCTCTATAATGCATTATCGAATCACAAACAGGCAATGCAAAACAAAACAAAATGCTACAGCGAAACGCCCATTCTTTCACACACATAATAAGATCAATAAAGTAACACAAAAGCCTCACCATTTTTTGATTCACAGAAACAGAATACACCGATCCAGTGGAATGCAATCTCTAGATTCAAGTTGAGATCATACTTGATAAACGATCACCATTATATATACATATATATACATCAAAATGCAGATTAAAAGATACTATATATAAGTGTGTAGGTTCGTAGATATACCTTGTGAGTCGATTTGAGTTTTGCAGATTACAGAGAAGAAAATATCTTCAAAGACCTGAGAATCCTTACTGTGTTGTGCTGATCTAGAGAGAGAGAGAGAGAATTGCATGATAAGGTGGATACCGACAGATCGAATTTATAGGGAAAGCCGAGGAGAGAGACCTTACACCGAGAGGAGTGTAGTTCCAATTATAGGGCATGGTTTATGATGAAATTACAATGGAGGACTTATATTTTGAATCGTACGATATCGTCCGTGATGCGCACCGTAGACGAAGACGACGAAGAAGTGCAGTGAAAAGCGGAGTAAAAGTCATGATTTTTTTATTATTTTTTGTTTTTTAGCCAGAAAAAAAAGGACGTCTCCCCTACCCGTAATTTAGGCATATTTTGCATCCTCTATATTGTTATCTTTTTTTATCTTTTTTTTTAAAAAAAAAAAAAAAGATTATCCTTTTTTTTATAAATCACATCATTTTTTATTTTTTTACTAATTTTTTATAAAAAATTAAAAATTATATTTATTTAGATTATTCCAAACACTCTTTTAGATACTCTTTTAGATTGAGGGATATCAAAAAAAAGTTACTGCGTCAGATTTCCTAATTCAAAAAATTTTGGATAAGATGTTTATGTGATGGAGGTTAATTATGTAAAGTATGAAATGAAATCAGTTGGTTTGGTTTGAATTTTTTAGATTAAGTTTTTTGAAAATTGAATTTTTTGATTTTCATATTTTTTTGTTTTTAATGAATATTTTTTATCTTTTAAACATTTTTTTTTTATTTTTTTAGATGCACCTTACTTAAATGTATCTAAAAAGTAAAAAAATTGTGAAAAAATATTTTAAAAAATTAATAAATACATAAAAATGTAAAAAATGTACTGAATTCTGATTTTTTTTTTTTTGTATTTTTGGTATTTAGTGAATTTTTAAAAGGTTTTTTTTCACAATTTTTTTTACTTTTTAGGTATATTTATGTTAAGTATGTCTAAAAAGTAAAAAAAAAATTTGCTCAAATATTAAAAAAATTCAATAAAAACAAAAAAATACGAAAAACAAGGAAGTATAATTTTTTAAAAAGTGTTTTTGAAAAGTCTAAGTATGAAATGAATTTAAGTCACACATTAATGTTTTTAGATAAACTCAAGATAAAATTTTCTAAAATTTTAATATTACTCAGAGGGATATTGTTTGGAACCATGAAATTATCGTGAATTTTATTTTAATTAGCCAAACTATTTACTGGATTTAATAAGATACTTGGTGCATATTGTTTATGGAAAAAAAAAAAATTTGTAATTCATTACTTTATTAAGTTTGTTAAAAAAAATGAAGATAAATTACACCAAAATTTTAAAAAAATATAACAAATCTTATAATTTTGATATAATTACACTGATCTCTCTTTTAATAAGGTTAAATAGATTGAAACTAATACAGATGATGCAAAAATATAAAAATAAATAACGGAAAGTATATATTTTCTTGTAAAAAAGATGGCACAATCATTTTTTCATCCATATAACTAACAAATTATTAATAATAAAAAAATAGATTAAGTGTTGTATAAATTAAAATATCGATGGAACTTAATAAAATTATATCAAAACTGTAGAGTTTACTGTATTTTTTAAAATCTCAAGAGAAGTTAATGTAAATTATCCAAAAAATAAATAAATTATTTTCAAAAAACACACTTATCATTCACTTTTTAAAAATGCGATAAAATGAATAAATTATAATTACCAAATTAATTTTGTTTTTATTTTTATAAATGATATACATAAATGATCTTATAAAATAAATAATTTAAATTATCGAAACAAAATTTATGATAAGTCTTACAAATCTAAATAGCACCATCTAACTCAAATAAAAATTAACAATGGCAAAAACTCATATTTTGTATCTACAAATACATGTATAATGATGTAGTTAAGATGATAAATCCCATATAATTGAGTATATGACCAATTAAAAATTAATACTTATTAAATTATATCATTATGAATTGAATTGTGAAATTTTTTTTTGAAGTCTCAAATATTTTTTAATAAAAATTGGAGAAAAATCAACCTAAAAATGAAAATAGATTTGCATTGAATTTGATGAACATGAATGATAGATGCCCCACAAAATACAATCTCATAACCCCTCAAAATGATCTGAACTAGTATCAGACATGACTCTCAAAAAAAAATTTAAATACATCAATCGTCAATACATTAATGAGGATCATGAAAATTTACTTTTGTGAGTGTTCCAAACATTTTTCTTTAACGAACTAAAACTAAAATGGATTAATTTTGACAACTAAGCACCGAGTCAGATGTAGGCCCAGCTGACTAGCTATGTCGCCGTAGAAGGAAAAATTTTGGGTCATAGATTTTCAATCAATTCTGGATCAAGATGCTGTGACTGAAAGGTCTATGGTGCCACTGACACTTTTTTTTTTTCAATAATTTAGATCATTTATATTATATAGTTTGTTGAATAAATTATTTATGTAAAAAATTAAATTAATTAAAAATCTATAACTCAATAACAAAAGTATATTTTTTTTAAAAAAAATAAACAGTTGACATGATCTTTATAATTTTTTTAAAACAAATTGAATTTGATTATGGGATTGTGAATTTTAAATTAATTTAATTTTTTTATATAAATGATTTATAAATTTTATAATTTGAACAGTTTAAATTATTAAAAAAAAAATTAAGAAAAACCCCCTATCCAAGCACCATAGATCCAGGGGTGTAAATCTGGCCTGGCCCGGCCCATGTCTAGTCTCGCGAGCTCCCGCCAAAATCCGGGCCGAGCCACGGGCCAAAAAATTGAGACCAAGCAAGCATAGGGGCATTCGGGTCTTGGGTTGGTCCAATGGGCTTAGGCGGGCCAACCTTTTTTTTTTTGTTTTTAAAATTTTTTTCTATCAAAATTTTATCATTTTCCATTAAAAAATACACTGGGCCTTGGTGCGCCCTGGGCTTCGGGCCAATGAACTGGGCCACGGGGCGGGCCCATAGGCTGGGGCTGGGCTTCAAAACAATGGCCCAGGCCCTAGCCTAGGGGCTCGGGCCTGGGCCCAAGTGTGCTTAAATGGGTCGAGCTCATCTCAGGTCGCGGGCAGGCTTTAGGCCGCCCATTGGCCATTTTTACACCCTGGATCCTACTATGATAGCAGGATCCCCCAATCCTAAGTTTCTACCATAGACCCTCATGTCGCATAGTTTCCACCTTTTGCTTTGAAAGCAAATATTCCATCTATCACTGAACTTTAGATGCAATCTTCTATTGAATTATTAGAAAAATAATAAATTATGAAGAGGAAAAAAAAAAAAAAAGGTTAATGGGGGCAATTAACTGAATATGAAGATTGATATTATGCGAGGTAACTTTTGTACTATGAAAAAGAAAAGAATTTCGTGGAAGACCAACATGGTCTAAGAAGTGAAGATCTGTACAAAGTAACAAACAGTGAGGCTACCCAATCGGAATTTGATCAAAAACCTCTCTGATAGTAAAGTCAAGGACTATGAGAGAAAAAGAAAAAGGAATTATATGTTGAGTGTGGATTTCGGATGTCTTTAGGGTGAATAGTACTCACCTTTTATAGGAGAAGATTGCTTGTCCTCTAAGACTTTCTTTCTCCGCCATCTATTCTATTTGTCTTGTTTATAGTCATCTGCCCTTAGAGAATGATGACCACTTTGCTTGACACTTAGGTGCAGGTTTATCACGTTTGTCTCATTCATGAGCATCTCCCATTAGAGAAGGACGTCCATTCTGCCTGACACTCAAGTGCAGGTTTGTCGTGTGTGCGTCTTGTCCCACTGTGCTTCTATGTCTCTATATTCTGTCGAGACAAAGGGAGAAGAGCAAAGTTGTTTGTCTTTTTTTAGTTCAAGAAAGGCCTTTGGTGTGTTTGTCTTCTCTAAGTTGGTCCACTTCGGAGTGGTTGTCAAACCTGGAGGTTTAACTTGTTGCTTGGCCTGTTTCGAAACGAGCCTTGTACGTTGGGCTAAGCTTCCTGGTATCCACTTCGGTGTGGCGCTTGTGCATTTGGCCAAACTCCAATGATTATTCTGTTTTGGAGCAGGTCTTAGCCGTAGGGCTGAACTCCAACCTAGCCTAACTTCGGAGTAGGCCTAGCATTGGACCGAGCACCACGACTTAGTTAATTTTTACCCACTTCAAATATCTTATGTTCTTCACATTTGTAAAAAGTATCAATTGGATTAGTAATTTTAATGTGGTTAACATGTGATTATGTAGTTATTATGTTTGTTTTTTTAAAATAATCAAATGCTTTCAATTATTGAATGGAAACATAGTCATGTAATCTTTTTAAAACACTAAACAATTGGAATAATGTTTGAGAGTTCTAATTGAACACCTCTTATTTATCTCTAATGATGTGGAATGGATCCTATTCTTCACTTCTCAACTTTCTCCTCTTTCTATTTTCTCTCTTCCACTTCATTAGAAATCAAAATAGAAATGATATATTAGAGGGATGTGCACTACTCAAATAATTTTTCATATGTTATGTGCGTCATTTATTTCTCACTTTTAAAAGTTCATTGTAATTTGTTGTATTTGTAATAATTGTTTGTTAAATAGTCTTGTAAACCTTAAATCATATTAGGGGTGATTACTGCATCAAAAACTGAGAGGGTAATTTTTGGTAAAAATTGGGCCGAGCTATGTGGTGGGCTTCGTGGCCCAAAGCACCAAGGACTTGGTGAAAAGGCCGCAAGGTTATTCCGGCCCAGGAGAGATAAAAGATACTCCGGCCCAAGCTGTTAAAGTTACTCCGGTTCAAGAACGATAGATTTATTCCGAGATGTTGATTTACTACGGTCAAAAGAGATCAAGTTACTTCGGCTAAGGAATCGTAAAGCTGCTTCGGTTTGGACAACTTGAGTTAGTACGGTCCCAAGAAAGGTAGTCCGGTCATGATGAATTCGGGGTAGGTCGGTCAGAATGTAGCTACTCAGTAGATCGGTCCAAGCATACCACGGTTCGTGTATGAGAGAACCGAGATATGGTGTAGCATGAAGAAAAACCATACTGTTAGTACGGCCCACTTTGTGGCTTGGCATAGCTAATGTTACTTCGGTCAAATAGTAATTCGGCCATGGAGAAAACCATCCC